TCTGCCACTCCCGATATGGCTCCCCAACTCCTCCTGGGGCGGGGCCAACACCGGAAGTAGGTGTGACAGGAACGGAAGCCGAGCGGGATTCTGAGTGATGATATTGAGGAGTGGGTAACGCAGGCTTCAGAGCGATGATCCCCCCACAGGAGGCGTCCGCCCGGCGGCGGGAGATTGAAGATAAACTGAAGCAGGTGGGGCTGGGACTTGGGAAGCTGGGGAGGAGATGGGGGAAAGAGGCCGAGAGCGGGGCTGGGACTTGTACCGGAGAAGCGGGACCCGGGCGCTCCCCGAGAAGAGATGGGTCTGGGGGTTAGGCCGTGGGCCAGGAAGCAGCTGTCTCCTTTAGCTTAGGCTTCTGCTGACGTCCTCCCTTTCATTCCCCTCAGGAGGAGGAGACGCTGTCTTTTATCCGAGACAGCCTGGAGAAGAGCGACCAGCTCACCAAGAACATGGTGAGGGACCTGCCAGCTGGAAGGAGAGCCACCCCCGGGCCCTGAGGAGAGCCATGCGACCCACGGGCCCCGTGCCTAAGCCCTGGTTCCGGCGTGGGTGGTGAGGGTGGTAATGTGGGGACTTCTGTAGCAACAGCATGCAGCTCTCTTACCAAGAGTCCTTCCCTGTGTTCCTCCCTCTCCCTGAGGATATTGTAGCCCTACTGGCCTGGACTTTCTGCTTTCTGTTAAACCCTTCATTCTTCTTTTTCTCCTTAGGCAGATATTTAGTGAGATTGACTAGGTGGACTGGTAGGGTCATGTGTCATGGGCAATTCAAGTGAGGTTGGCACATTAGGATTACTAAGGGCAGCAGCTTTCACCCCAGAGACTTTAGGAGCAGAATGAGCTCAGCGGTTCAGCAGACCTGAGATCTAGACCTTGCCCTGCAGCTCACTTACTCTGTGGCCCCTGGCAGGTGATTCTGAGTATCAGTTAACTTGTCTGCTAAAACAGAAACAGTGCCAACCTCCTGATATGTCTCATATGAAGGACCTGTAAGCTAATGCATGTCAACACATCTTGCACAGTGCTTGGTATACAATTGGTGCTAAATAACTGAGGGTCCTTTATTCCAAGAGAGACTGGAAAAGCATGGACTTATAGTTAGTGACACAATCAAGTCCTAATCACTCTAAGAGAGAGGGAGTTTTGAAGGGACCAGCAGTGCATTTGAGGCTACTCTGTATGAGACTTTCCTGTTTGGACTAGAAAAGCTTCAGAGAAGACAGAAACTGAGCTTTGGCTTCAAAGAGCGGCGGGGATGTCATCCTGAGATGATCATCCTAGGAAGAACTAATTTGATTCATGGCTTGCCTTCATATAGAATTTCAAGGAGATTATCATGGACAACCTGTTATGTATGGGGCGCATGGTACATGCTAGGGATACAGTAGTTGACAGGAAAACACTGTCCCTTCCTGTGTGCAGCTTATTGTCTTAAAAACAGAGGAACGCTGGGAAGTGCCACATGTCTCTGGGCGGGCAGAAGCAGTTCTGGGATATCTTGAACCTGATAGCAAGAAGCTTCCCTTCTGCAGGTGTCCATCCTGTCATCCTTTGAGAGTCGCCTCATGAAGCTGGAGAATTCCATCATCCCTGTGCACAAGCAAACAGAGAATCTGCAACGATTGCAGGAGAATGTTGAGAAGACTCTGTCCTGCCTGGACCATGTCATCAGCTACTACCATGTGGCTAGTGACACTGAGAAGATCATCAGGGAAGGGTAAGCTAGGCACAGAGGGTCATATTCTTATTGCCTAGGCCTAAGAAGAGGGGGTAGTATATATTTGAGCCTGAAGTTCCTTATTCATCCTCCATCCTCTCAGGCTGACTTCGCTCTTTTCCTTCCCAGCCCCACAGGTCGGCTTGAGGAGTACCTGGGAAGCATGGCTAAAATTCAGAAGGCTGTGGAATATTTCCAGGACAATAGCCCAGACAGCCCAGAGCTCAACAAAGTGGTAAGGGACTAGTGGAGTATTGGGAGACGTTTGGGGACATCAGTCCTTGCCCCGTCTCGTGGGAGACTCTGAATCAGCTAAAGAAGCACAGAGTAGCTGGGCATAGTGATGCACACCTGTAATCCCGACACTCAGGTAGAAGGAGGCAGAAGGACCATGAGTTCAAGTAGACTGGAGAAGGAAAATACAAAAGACATGAAACTAAGCGTTTGCCACGGAGGACTCACTTTCTATTTAAGCAAAAACACCTTTTTCTCTCTTTAACATCTTCATTGAGATACATAAATTACATGCCATGAAATTAACCAATTTAGAGCATAAAATGTATGCATTTTGCTGTGCAACCAGCAACAGAAACAGTTTTAATTGTCTGAAAAAGAAACTCATACCTGTTGACACATGCTATCCCTCTCTTCCCTCATCTGTCCCCCTCTGGTAGTCACTAATTTCCATCTGTAAGACCTACCTAGCCTAGACTTCTTATATAAATGGTGGCATTTAATAGGTGACTGTTTGCAACTTTCACAAAGTTTTCAAAGTTTATCTGTTATAGCATATACTGGTACTTCGTTCCTTTTTATTGCCAAATAGTGTGGATATGATACATTTTGTTTATCCACCTATCCTGTGATAGGCACTTGAATTGTTTCCACTGATGTAAATAATGTTGCTATGAATCTTTGTGTACACTCCTTTTTGTTTGTTTTGTACTGTTCTCGTGTGTGTGTGTGTGTGACAAGGTCTCACCATGTAGTACAAGCTGATCTTGAACTTACTGTGTAGCCCAGGCTGGCCTCAAACTTGCAGCAATCCTCCTGGTCTCAGCCTCCCAAATATTAGGATTAGCACATGTGTGTCATCTGCCTAGCTCTGTACACACTTTTGTTTTTTTGGTACCAGGGATCAAACTTGGGTCCTTGTGCTTGCGAGGCAGGCAGCGGAACCACTGAGCTAAATCCCCGGCCCTTCTGTACACATTTTTGTGTGGATATATGTTTTTTTGTTGTTGTTGTTTTTTGGTTTTTGGTAATGGGGATCGAACTTGGGTCCTTGCGCTTGCGAGGCAGGTGGCGGAACCACTGAGCTAAATCCCTGGCCCAATATGTTCTTAATTCTTTGTTCTAGATACCTGTCCCTTACCAGATACACAATTTGTAAATATTTTCTCATTCTGTGGGTTGTTTTTTACTTTCCTGATGGTAGCATTTGGAGCATAAAAATTTTCCATTTGTTATAGTCCAATTTGTCTATTTTTTCTTTTGCAAACCCCTAACAAGAAATAAATTAACAATGCAAGTGAGAAAATAATCAGCCAATATTTATTAAGCAGCTAGTTATTGTAAAATCTTGGGTTGTACCTGTCGTTATCAATTTTTAGAGAACGTAAGGTAGAGAAATCAAATCAGTGTTCCCTACCTCACACAGTGGTACACACCTGTAATCCCAGCTACTCAGGAGACTGAGACAAGAAGATTCAAGACAAGCCTAAGTGAGTTAGCAAGGCCCTGTCTCAAAATAAAATAAATAAAAAGGGGTAGGGATGTAGCTCAGTGGTAGAGTGCTTGCCTAGCATGCACAAGGCCCTGGGTTTAATCCCTCATATCCCCCCACACCCTCAAAACCAAAGAAAGACCTTCTGATGTTTCTTCTTTGGCTTGAAGGAAGAAAGGCAGTACAAGGCAGAGGCCCTGAATTGGGAAGGCAGAGCAAGGGCTACAGAACTCAGTACAGCAGCAGCAACAGCAAATCAACCTGCTTCCTTCTGCTGTCCCCGCAGAAGCTTCTGTTTGAGCGGGGGAAGGAGTCACTGGAGTCTGAGTTCCGCAGCCTGATGACCCGGCACAGTAAGGTCGTCTCCCCTGTGCTCATCCTGGACCTCATCAGTGGCGATGAGGAGCTGGAGGTCCAGGAGGACGTGGCCCTGGAGCACCTGCCTGAGAGCATGCTCCAGGATGTGGTCCGCATCTCCCTCTGGCTGGTGGAGTATGGCCGCAACCAAGGTAAGAAGGCTTTTGTTGGTCCTGTCTGACAGCAGGCCTGAAGGAACAGATGCTTTGCCTCTTTCTTTATTCCCCCCACCCCCCGATACCAGGGTTTGAACCCAGGACCTTGTACTTACAGGCAGGCATGGTGCCACGTAGCTACACCCCCAGCCCTATACTTTATTTATTCATTTATTTATATTTATTGATGTGGGGGATCAAACTCAGGACCTTGCACTTTTGAGGCAGGCATGTTGCCACTGAGCTAGATCCTCAGCCCCCAGCCCTATACTTTGAACACTGTATAATAATCTTGGTGTTTTAAACTTTGTCCTGTATTATTTTTTTAACTTGATAATGTCCCTTGAGATGGTTCCCTATCAGTATGTGTAGGCTTGTTTCTTTTTTTTTTAACTGCCTGATACTCCATGGTACGGTGGTACTATTTCTTTTGCTAGTCTTAGGGTTTTAAAAAACCTTTTGACTTAACCCAAAATTTTAGAAGATAGCTCCAGTGGCTATTCTGTTTTATACTCCTCAGCCTTCCACGCTCTTCTTCTCTTTGTTAATGTTAGCTGCGATTATTCCCACCTTCTCGGGAAGACTGTGGGGCAGGCTTTATGGCTGGGATGTATTTGACTACGTGAACAGGTCCATAGTTCAGGGGTTGTGCCGCTGGGTCCCTCGGGCCTGGTGGAAGACTTTCAATGGCTGCCTGGGAAGCCAGGAGGCCGAGTGGACAGCCTCCAGGCCCCTCGACAGTGTTAGCCAGAATCTCTACTTCGGTCCATTTCCATTGGGGTTTCCTGTGGGCTATTTGTTGGTAAATGCTGAAATGACCATTGTTTCCATATCTTTTTCCTTGCTTATATGCACTTTGGGATTTTCCAAAGTTTTCTGATATGGATAAATAGTGCTACAGTGAACCTACTTGTATGGATTGCTTTTTTATTTTTTATTTTTTATTTGTTTGGATTGCTTTTTTAAAAAAATGATTTCAGAAGTTCTTCAGGATGGCTTGGTGGTGCAGTAATCATCTCTGTCTTAACATATTTGTGCTCTTGCCACTGCCAGCTCCTCCTCAAGTAGATACCAATCAACAGACTCATTGACAGGCTGTTTGTTCTTCATTATTTTTACTACTCAACAGTACTGTCATGTCCGATTTTTATTTTTCATTTGCATTTTCAATGGCTAATGATATAATATTTTTTCATTCATTGATATTAATTCCTTTTTTGCCTCATACATTTCTCATATCCTTTGGCCAAATTAAATGTGCATGTTAATTGTATGTTTTTTTATTTTAAAAAATAGGCATGGTGGCACACATTTATAATCCGCATACTCTGGGAGGCTGAGGCACAAGGGTACTTTGACCCTAGGAGTTTGAGGCCAACCTGGGCATCATAGACCCAGTCTCAAAACAAACAAAATTTTTTTTAAAAAATTGACTATTAGAACCTTATAAGTAATTATAAGTTCTTTTGGGGAGTAGTTTTCTCTCTGGCTTTGCCTGACTTGAGGCCTCGTGATGGCTGTGAGGCAGGACAGGTGCTGGGAGGGGCGACCACACAGCCAGAGTGGGGAAGCAGAGGCAGGGACCCCAGCCTTCATCCGCTCTTGCTGTCTCTCCTCAGATTTCATGAATGTCTACTACCAGATACGCTCCAGCCAGTTGGACCGCTCCATCAAGGGCCTAAAGGAACATTTCCGGAAAAGTAGTTCTTCCTTTGGGGTTCCCTACTCCCCTGCTATCCCCAACAAGAGGAAGGACACACCCACCAAGAAGCCAATCAAGCGGCCAGGTGAGCCCCCGCCCTGGCCCATCTCAATACCAGCCAAAGAGTTGCCTAGGACCTGGATGGCTTTTTCCACCCTGGGGTCAGTAGCCCCAGCTGTAGGTATTCAGGACAGAAAGCAGGCATCTGCCCACCCAGCAAGGTCCAGTAGAGCAAGGCTCTTCCTCTACCTGACAGTCCCATCTGGGGGTTACATAATGTCTTTGGAGTCAGGTGGGGGTCACAGACATGCTCAGTCATCTCTCCTGAGGCAGGGGAAAGGGGTCTATTGGGCAGAGCCAATTGCTGGGTCCCTTCCCTCCCTCTCTTGTCCCATCAGGAGGCCAGGCCTGCTGCTGCAGCCAAAACAGTAAGATGGGTGGGCTGGCCCTCCAGCCTTCCCCTCTGAGCTATGAAGTGGAAGGGAAGTTTGCACCTTCACAGTTGATTCAGAATGGAAAAAAATCTTAGACCATCCTCTTGGAAGGACTTGAACTGGCTTTTGGACTCTCACCCCGTTAGTGCCTTGTGGAAGTCAGTGAAGGGCATGGGGTGGGAGTTCCAGGCCGCAGGTTGTTGGTCTTCCTCCCTTCCTCACATTCCCTGCAGCCTGTGCTCCAGGTGAAAAGCATCTGTGTGTCTCTGCCTCCAGAGCTGTTGCCCTTGGCTCCAGGAGGGGCTGTATCTGGGGGGTAAGGGGGTGCCAAGGTCGCACCTAGAGAGAGGACCACCCTGGGCCTCTCAGCTGCTGCAGATACTTTCCGGAGTGTGGTCTGTGGGGGCCCCTTCATGACAGCAGACTTTGTCTAGAGCTCACCCTCACCCCCCTGCCCATTTCTTCAGTCCCTCAGAGAGTGAGGTATCTGTTCACATCCAACCAGGTCACCTCCTCCTCCTCAGGGCTTTACTTAGGGTTTGGGGACTTGGCAAGTGGAGGCTGCCCTCAGGGTACAAGTGAGTAGCACAGCATGAGAACTGGGCAGGAAATGCACTGTCTTCTTCCCCCAGAGTGGATATCCTGGCCACCCCCTAGAGAACCTGCTGCAAACAGTGACTTTACTAACCTAGCCTGCTGGCCTGCAGCTGCCTGTGGCTGGCCGGTCCATCTCTGTGCCTTCATTGTGCAAGGAAGGAGCTATCTCTGTGAGGTTGCCTGGCTGCCTGGGCCTCAGCCACTCTGTGCTCACTCCCACCTCTACCTTGTTCTCTGACAGGCCCATTAGAAGCCCCAGACCCTGTTTGTACCTCCCCAGGAGTGCCCCTTGGCCAGAAGGGCCCTGGCCTTTTGGGAGAAAGGATCTGACCTCAGGGATCACCATGGACCTAATCTGCTCTTGGTGCAGAGACACAGCAGGCAAACTCTGAGGACCAGGGATGTAGCTCAGTGGCGCTGCGCCTGCCTGGCAAGTGCAATGTCCTGAGATCAGTCCCCAGTACTGGGGGGGGGGGGGGAAGAACTGGCTGTGAAGGCACCTGTGGGATTTATAGGGTTTTGAGAGTTGACAGCAGCTAGTGGTCATAGGACCAAGATTGGGACCAAGTTAGGCTGCTGGGACATCTGTTCCAGGCCTTGAGGAGAGGAGCAGGGAGCACTCATCTGTGATGAGACCGACTTTAGCATTGGCCCTGGTAATCCGGTGCCTGGCGGGCTTGGTGGCTGCCAGGTTATCATCTCCGATGCCCTCTAAGCCAGCATGCTTGGGACTAACCCACCTGCTCCTGGTTTGTTGTGGGATAAGAGTCTGATTTGCTCATTAGCAAGGAATGCACTGAAGGAGGCAACACAAGGGAGGCAGAAGTAAGCCAGGCCAGCCAGACGGGGTTATCGGTGGTTAATTTACTGCAGATAGAAAGATGAGCTAGCTGGGCCCTGTCCTGCCTCCAGGACACAGCAGCCATGCTGCACTCAGATATACAGGGGAGAGGGTCTCCAGGAAAGGCTGACCTCTATCCATACTGATTAAAATGCCACTCAGTAGAATTTTTATTTTTGACTTCTGGTGGATCTCTGTCCACCTTGATCGCCTCTCCTCCCCTAGCACACTTTATGTTTATGCAGCAGAACCTGTCTCCTTGAATGCTATTTTGTGTCCCCACATTTTCTACCCCAAGATGTCTCATTCCCACAGAGGTGGCTGACCCCAGAGGCTGTGGGCACAGTGGTTTTGTTTGTATTGTTTTCACTTGTGATACTAACTGTTCTTTTTTCCCCCATGCCAAGAGCATGTGCACTCCCTTCCTGTTCTCCCTTCCCAGTGGTGGCTTTTCTTAGCCCCTTGCTAGCTTTTCGGTTTGCTCCCACTGTGTTGCGGTGGCTTGAATGACTCCCCTGGTGTAGGAACAGCTGCCTGTGGCTCTCAGAGCCTCCACTTGGGGCACAGTCCACTGGGAAGCTCAATCCAGTGGCTCCAATCCCCAGGGGCTGCTTGCCATGGCCACTCTTTTCCCTGAGTCCCCACACTTAGCATGCTCAGGAAACTGTGTGGAGTTTAGAGCTGGCCTTCTGGGACCCCCAGGCTCTGCCCACTGCCTCATACCCTGCAGGGTGTGAGCGTTGCCACAGCTCCTCCATCCATGCTGATTGAAATGCCACTCATAGAATGTTTTATTTTCGCTTTTGGGTGGATCTCTGTCTACCTTAATCTCAGTCACCCACCTAAAGTGAACACAAACCCAAAACAGTGAGAGCCAACAATAGATGGGAGAATGAAATGTTTCCTTCTCCCCGTCATTGAGGTCTTTGGTGCCCCCGGGGCTGGGCCTGCTGGGAGAGGTGTAGAGGGCCATGCTTGCTGTCGGGTGGGCAGGGGCTGGGCAGGTGGAGGGCCGCTGCTGTTTTCTCTCACTCATTTCCTAGGTGTTCTTATCTCCTCTCTGTGTGGCTCTGGTGACAGGGACGATCCGTAAGGCTCAGAACCTTCTGAAACAGTATTCCCAGCATGGTCTAGATGGGAAAAAGGGGGGCTCTAACCTCATTCCTCTGGAAGGTAATCACCCTGTGTTCCTCCCAATCCCTCCTCCTCCACTGTGTGTCTACTCACTTGGCAGGGCAGAGCCTCCCCCAGGAGGGCCTTGGGAGAAACCCTGAGGGGCAGGGTGGGAACAGCAAGTCCCTGATGCCACTCAGGCCCCAGCAGGCACAGGGATAAAGTTTTGCGGCCCTTGGCCTGGTCCTGTCTGGCTGATGGTAGCTCTGCCCTCCCTGAGGCTTCCCACTTCCCTTCCCCGTCTCTGTCCTTGTCTCCTGTGTGAACTCAGAGAAAGTTCTTTGTCTTGGGGCAGCCCTTTCACGCTGAGACCAGCAGTGGCAGGACCAAGCTTGCCGAGGTCTCCGGGCCACCCCCTTCTTTAGAAAGGGGATTGTGTGCAGCAAGAGGACAGGCAGCCTGTAGGCTGTGTCGCTCCCTCCCTCCTGCCAGGGAAGGGACAGCCAGGTTAGCTGTCCTGGTGGACCCAGCCCTCCTAGAAAGGATCACCCTGGGAAGCAAAGCAAGGCTGTCCTGAGTCACTCGGGGTGCCATTTCTCATGGGGTCTCTTCCCAAGCACAGTGAGGCAGAGACCCCCTGAGGCCAAGCAGCAGACCCTCCTTGGTGAGCTCACCTTTCTCTTAGCCCCCAGGCTCAGGGAAACAAGCAGCCCAGGATGGTCCTGGGCACTTGCTGCAAGTCAAGCTTGAAACGGCTGTTCCTATGGTGGTTTGAGGCATAGCTTGGAGGGCTTGGAGCCCTTCCCAATGCCTCATCCCTGTGTCCATCTCAAACCCCCTTCTGGAGATCAAGGGCTTCTTCCCCATACCCTGAGAGGCCACTGCCTAGCCCCCGGATAAATACTGCTTGTGTTTGTGCGGCCGACGTCTTGCTAGGTCACGAGCATGATTTCCGAGTTAAGCACCTGTCCGAGGCCCTGAACGACAAGCACGGGCTGCTGGCCGGTGAGTACCGATAGCCCAGCCCGAAGGCGGCTGCCGATACTGCCTTTGCTGCAGTCCCCGGATGGCGTGCTCCTGCCTGCCCAGCAGGGCCTGCTCTGCTCCAAGGATGGACCAGGCTACGTGCTCCGGTCAATTTGGGCACTAGGCCTCTTTGAGATGGGAGTGCACGCCTGGCTCTCAGGGCCTGGTCCCAGGGAGAAGCTGCTGTTCACTACTTGAAAAGCAGGCAACAGGGAAAGTGGCACCCTCGAGGGCAGAGAGCCCTGATGTCTGACACCTTGGAACCTGCCCCTCAGCACATAGGACCAAGCAATTCTGTGCTGGCCTTGTCTGCAGTGCCCCTTTCCTGGCCTCCAAGAGTAGGGTGCCGTCTCCTCCCAGGGCAGCCAACAGCCGAACTGTCCCTCTCGGGCATTCACTTACCTTTTCTTAGCTTCTGAGCCCAGGCTGGCCAGCCTCACAGGCTGTGTGTGTGTACTCCAGAAGGCCTGCTGGGCTGGCCTTCGTAGACCCAGCGTTCCTCAGTTGGAGGACCACATTCCTGCCTCCTCGAGGTGGGCAGTGCCACCAGCCCATTCCAGGCTGCTCTCTTCCAGGCACAGATGAGATCCTCGGTCCTGGGGTAGAACACGCCTTACCCAGGAAGTTGAGCTAGGACTCTTCCCTCCTTCTATCCTCCTTCTACCGCCTCTAGTTCCTGATGCCCTGGAGACATAAGTACTGAAGTGCAGAACTGAAACTGAAGCCAGGGCAAAGGCTGAACTCAGCTCCTGGTTTTCCCCCTGAACCTGGTGGGCCTGCTGGAGTCCTTGTAGCTCCCTACCAGAGCAGTGTACTCTACCTCTCCCCACCCGCTGTTGGTCTGGGCTACAGGGCAGGAGCTGGGAGACCCACGCCCCCTAGCAGGGTGAACAGCTGCCGCCAGATGAGAGCTCAGGAGCACTGTTGTCCCCCCAGGGAGAGACGACATGCTGGACGTGGAGACCGATGCCTACATTCACTGTGTCAGTGCCTTCGTCAAGCTGGCCCAGAGCGAGTACCAGCTGCTGACGGACATCATCCCTGAGCATCATCAGAAGAAAACCTTTGACTCCTTGATACAGGTCCTGCCTGTCCCGCCCTATCCAGGTTCTCTGCCCAGCAGTGCCAGCAAAGCTATCACTGTAGAATCCTAAGTGTGGAGCAGACCTGTTATCTGAAGCCCTCAACTCCAGCTACCACATCATAGCCTGGGACCCCTCCTGGGAGGATGCTCAGTACCCACCTGTCCCCCCGCTGCTTGCCAAGCTTGCTAGCTTCCCCTCCTACCCCATAAGATGCCTTTGCTGTCCCTGGGTGCCAGCTCTCTGCTCTGTCCCTCCTTGAGCTGGGTCCTGGTCTCTCTCCCAGGATGCCCTGGATGGGCTGATGCTCGAGGGGGAGAACATTGTGTCCGCTGCTCGGAAGGCCATCATTCGCCATGACTTCTCCACGGTGCTCACAGTCTTCCCCATCCTGCGGCACCTCAAGCAGACCAAGCCTGAGTTTGACCAGGTGCTCCAGGTATGTGACAAGGAGGCCCCTGGGGACACAGGAAGGAAGAATCCTGTTTGCCCTGCATAGCTTCTCCCCCCTCACACACACACACAGTCTTCTGAGTGGAGATAGAGGCTTCTGCAGGCCCCTGGGGAAGTCAGAATGCTCACAGGTGATTGAAGAGGAGCTGGGCCCCACAAACAACCTGCTCCAGAGAGCAGTGGCTGGGGCTCTGGCCGGGGCTGTAGCTCTGTGCTTCCTCAGGGCACAGCCGCTAGCACCAAGAACAAACTACCTGGCCTCATCACCTCCATGGAGACCATTGGCGCCAAAGCACTGGAGGACTTTGCAGACAACATCAAGGTATCTGCCCTTCCTTTGCTCCCATCAGGCCCGGAGACCTGGCTTTGGGGACTCTCAGAGAGTAGGCCTGAAGAAGGGCAAGTTTGCTGTGTGAGGAAGCTGCTGCACTGCTGGTCCCCTGTCAGTTCCCCTTAGGCTCTCTTTCCCAGGCTCTGTGGCCCTCTGAGGCCAGAAGCTCGGTCCTGCTGTTTTGCTTAGCCTGAGGGTGAGGGGCATCCTAACACCCATCTGCCAGGAGGTGGCGCCAAGAGTGGGCAGATGAGTGTGGCATGGGCCTGAGGCTGCCTTGGGGGACTGTTTGAGAGAAGCAGTTGTTTTTCCCCCAGAATGATCCAGACAAGGAATACAACATGCCCAAGGATGGCACCGTGCACGAGCTCACCAGCAATGTAGGTGCTACCTGAGGATCTCTGGGAGGTGGGAGAAGGGGGGTCCAGCCCAGGCACTGGGCCAGCACCCATGGAGGGGAGCCAGCCTGGGCCTTCATGAGCACTAGTGGCGGTTGGGTAGGAAAGTGTACAGAGTCTCTGGCAGATAGGACCTTTGGGCAACCAGAGCCCACAGGGTAAAATGTGAAGTTTCCAGCCGCCCTTCTCACTGGGCAGGTCCCTGGCCCCTGGCTTGTCCTGCTGGTCAAATGGGGGGCATGTAGAGGCCTGGGTCCTGCCCTGACCTTCCTGCTGGGCTGTGTCCTCCCTGCCAGGCCATCCTCTTCCTGCAGCAGCTTCTGGACTTCCAGGAGACAGCGGGTGCCATGCTGGCCTCCCAAGGTACTCAGTATCCCAACTGGCCCTGCCTGCACCCTACTGCTCCCCCTTGCCTGCAGCCATGGGGTTCGGCTCCTAGGAGGCACTGCCCTCCGCTGGGTGAAGGCAGGGCGTGGTGGCACGGATTGAGATGTGGCCGGTGGGGGCTCTGCTGGGGCCATCTTGGGCTGAGCATCAGGAGAACAAGGACTGCTGCTGTTTCTGTGATCCCTCAGCCCTCCCTCACTCCTTTGGCCACTCCCTTACTCTGGGTGGGCACTGCCAGCCTCTAGATGTTCTCCCAGCCCTGCCTTCCTTCCATGTTTCTCTCCTGCCTCTTTTGTCTACCTACTCTCCTGATCCCGGGCGAGCTGGGTGTCCTCCCACTGGCCACCACCCTGGGACTGGAGCTTGGAAGATGGGCAAGGAAAGAGGAGCCATCTTGGTCATTCCAAGCTCAGATTCCCCAGGCTCTCTCAATCTGCCCCCATTTGGGCACATGGAGCCAAGGGGCTGCCTCTGGCCTGAGTTTTTCAGATTTCTACTTTCTCTATGTTCCTGGTCTTGAGAGGGCTTGTCCTGGTGTGTCCTGCTTCTGTATCTGGCTATCATGGGGAGAGGTCTGCTTGACTGGGTGGCACAGCCGTTTCTAACCTGTTTTTTGAATTTGCATCTTTCTCCCTCCTGTTTCTCTCATCCCCTCTATGTGCACTGCCTTTTCCGTAGTTCTTGGGGACACATACAATATTCCTTTAGACCCCCGAGGTAAGCAGTGTGACTCTGCAGCCCTGTTCTCCCCCTCTGAAGCCCCGCGGGTGAGGGTCCCTAGGGACAGACTCAGGGCCTGTCGGGGGTCGGGTCAGAGGAGACGAGAATCCCTCCAGGGTGCTTCACCTCTGCACGCTTCGTCTGGGTCACCTTCTGTCCCAGCCTATCCACCCCGGATAGCCCGCCAGGCCAACTGGGTCTCTCTGCCTTAGCCTTCTGAACAGTGGGCAGCTGTGTTCAGAAGGACCTCGTAGTGGGGTTGTGGAATGTGGGGGGAAGATGGAGAGGCTGTGGGACCCCATTTTAATAACTGGCTGTTGGCAGATGGGAAAGGGGAACCTTATAGACGATGCTTAGTGTGGGTCAGAGGCTGGGGGTTGGGGGCCTAGTATCCCACTCCCATTCTACCAGCCTTCCTGCTGATGTGGGCCAGCTTCTTAACCATGCCACCTCACGAGGACAGAGGGATGGCTTGGGTTCCAGCAAGAGTGTAGCGCAGTACTTCCTGTGGTACGACGCAGCCCTGTGACTCAGCAGGCACCAGCTCTGGCTGACCTGTCTGGGTCCTGTCTGTCCCAGGAAGCCGATAGGCCTCCACTGCTTTGTGGGGTGGGGTGGGGGGTGGTCCCTGCCACTGCAATAGTAGGATTTCTCTCACAGAGACCAGTTCTTCGGCCACCAGCTACAGCTCCGAGTTTAGCAAGCGACTGCTGAGTACCTATATCTGTGAGTGTCTCTCAGGCAGAACCTTTTCCCTCCCAGGAGAGCCCTTTCTGTGATTTCCAGGTATTCACAGGTTCCTCTACTGACCTTGCCATAGCAACCTAAGCTCTAGTTCAGGGGCCAGTGGGATTGGGAAGGATTCCTGATGCCCCAGAGTCGGGAGGACAAGGAGCCATGGACAGGAATTGGTTAGTGGGTCCCATGGTGGGTCATCTGGGTCACACTGGTGGGCACAGCCCCATCTTTCCTTGTGCAGGTAAAGTCCTGGGCAACCTGCAGCTGAACTTGCTGAGCAAGTCCAAGGTGTATGAAGACCCGGCACTGAGCGCCATCTTCCTGCACAACAACTACAACTACATCCTCAAGTCCCTGGAGAAGTAAGTGATCACAGGCATGGCTCTGTGCCTCACTTCCCGTGGGCCCTCCAGGGCTGGCTGTGCCCTCCACAGACTCTGGTGTGCAAGGGCAGGAGGGGGCTTCTAGTCCTCTTAACCTTGACCCAGGGAGGCTGATGCTGCCTCCTTAGAGCAAGATGGATAAGGAGCCCCTCCTTCCGGGTGTTGCTACCAAAGCCAGCAGCCCTCAGGCCCCAGGGGCCAAGTCTCTCCTTCTCTACTCTCTCCCCTACCTGTGCCCAGATCTGAGTTGATCCAGCTGGTGGCCGTGACCCAGAAGACTGCTGAGCGCTCCTACCGGGAGCACATCGAGCAGCAGATCCAAACCTACCAGCGCAGGTGAGCGGCGCCCACCTTCCTACGGGGCCTGGGCTGCTATAGCCTCACCCCGGCCCAGGCCCAGCACGGTCTTCCTCCCCAGTGCTTGTGAGGTGGCCTTATTGACTGCTGCGCTGTGGGCCCCATCCTCGACTTGGTTTGTAGGGTTTTTTTTGCTGCGGCTGCCAGAAACCAAGTCCTTGTGCAGATGTTGCATATGGGCTCTACCACTGCGCTACACCCCAGCCTTTTATTTCTTTTTAAAATTTCTTTTCTTTTGTTTCTTTTCTCCACTCTTTTCTTTTAAATCAAGTTCTTGCGGTAGGTAGAAAGAGGATGGATCTCCTCACTACCTGGTCCGCTAGGGGCTGCAGAGCCTCTTCGGAGTGGTGAAGAGCCACTGTCAGGTGCGCGGGTAATGTTTAGTCCAAGGAGAGAGCAGGGTTTTGAGACCCTTGAACTTCGCTGAGCTTGCCCTCTCCTCCTACTGTCATTGCTTCTTTGGACCTCTGTTCTCCTCGGCTTGTTTTTTCCCTTCGAGCATCCCACTCTTCCCATTTGTCTGTCTTCTGCTCCCTCCCTTCTCTGTTTCTTCAACTTAGTTTGCCATGATATTGATGTGAAGTGTAGTCAACTGCTCAATGTTTTGAACACCCTGTCTTCTGTTCTTGATTTTAAAAGTGAGCAGCTTAAAATTTTTCTGTTGTCAAGGAAAAGATCTCAGTTATTTTGCTGAGTTGTGACCCATGTTGATTCTTACCAACCCTTCCCCCTTGTAGTAGATCAAGAGATAGTAAAACACAAAAGCAAGCCTGTATGGGGGAAGGTGCAGCTGTCCCTCCCTGGCCTCATGCCTTTCTCCCCGCTGTCTGGCAGTTGGTTAAAGGTGACTGATTACATCTCAGAGAAGAACCTGCCTGTGTTCCAGCCAGGAGTCAAGGTGGGCTAAAAGGCATGGGCTGGGAATGGGTGCGGAGCAGATGTGATACTTTCTGCTAAATCTCTGGGGTCAGAGAGTGAAGCATGCGTGCGGCCATGGGGGAAGAGAGAGGCCTGGGGCCCACACTGCCTGGGGAAGGAGCAGAGAGGGTGGTCCTGCTGTGAGCAAAGCCCTCTCTGCTTCTCCCGGGCTCCCCGAATCCCCAGCTTCGAGATAAGGAACGGCAGATGATCAAGGAGCGTTTTAAGGTGAGTCGGGACCCTCTTCCTTCCGCTGTTTGCTGCTGGCACTGTGGTGACAGAGATCCAAAACTTTTGTCTCTGGTCTCTCCCCTTTCTACTTCTTGGATGGCCAGGGCTTCAATGATGGCCTTGAAGAATTGTGCAAGATCCAGAAGGCCTGGGCTATTCCAGACACCGAGCAGAGGGACAAAATTCGCCAGGCCCAGAAAAACATTGTCAAGGAGACCTACGGGGCCTTTCTGCACAGGTGAGCCTCCTTCCCCGACCCTTCCCGGCCCTGCAGTGCCTACTCTGGCTGGGTTCTGTGTTCTGTTCCTCAAGAAAAAAAGGAGGGAGTGGCAGGACTTGGCAGCAGAGCCAGTGTGCTAGGCTTGGGACCATCACTCAGGGGCACCCCCATGCCGTCTCTGAGACCTTCAGAAGTGCCTTGGGTTAAGGGGGAGCCAAGGAGAGGTTAACCTTTCCCTTCCCCTGACCACGGTGCCTGATCAGGTACAGCAGCGTGCCCTTCACCAAGAACCCTGAGAAGTACATCAAGTACCGCGTGGAGCAGGTGGGCGACATGATCGATCGCCTTTTCGACACCTCTGCCTGAGCCTGCCAGTGTCCCTGTCTGGTTCCGTCACACTAGCTGTGTCAGTGGACAGATAAACCAGTGTTAACGGGCCTCTGGGCTGGTGAGTTTGAAGTCCTTTGGGACAGAGACTGTTCTTAACTGCACCGTTCAAGAGCCCTGTCCCTGTGCCCTCTAGTCCTGGTGTCTGTCCGCTTCTTCCTGTACCCCGTGTTCCCCTTCAGCCCTTTTCCAGGGTGCTGGAACCTTTCAGAACTCGAGTTCTGTGGCCGAGCACAGCCAGCCAGGGCCATGTGAGGCCTTCTGAGATAGGAGAGAAGGAAGCCAGAGCCCCACGCCCCGAGCTGCTTCCTGTACCTCCTGAGTAGGAGGGCAGACCCTCCCCAGCTGAGTTCAGACCTGGAGTTAGAAAACTCCCATCCAGCTAGGAAATGTGAGGGGCTCAGAGGAGCAGGCCACATCCTAGCCAAGGGGAGGGGCTAGAGAAAAAGCAGTCAGGGTCGACTCCCTTTCTTGGACGTGGTACATCGTTGTCCGCAGACTCAAGCCCCGGGGATGTTCAACCTCCCTGACGTTCTCCAGGTGGCAGGGAGGACTCTTGTCTGTTCCCTGCAGAGTCCAGCACACTGCAGGAAGCTTGTGGAGAAGTTCTGACCCACCTTGGAGGCCGGCCACTCAGCTCCTGTCTCCCATTCTCCAATACCAGCATCTCCCAGCTGTGTGTGTGTGTTTGTGTGTGTGTGTGTGTGTTGGGAGATTAGTGAATGATGGTGAGCAGTCCCGGAGCAGAGTTGGAGGTCAAGGGTGTTAAGTCAGACCCCGCCTACTTAGTGACAGCTGAGTTCAATGAAGGCCGACACTGGAGGTGCACTTGCACTCGGGTGAGGGGTTTATTTCCACTCTGCTGTGCGCCGGTGCATGCAGAACCAGGAACTCATGGTACTTGGGGTCCTGCAGGGTTAGGGACAGCCAGCGCTCCTTCCCCGCTCTCCAGAGACCCTGCCCTGGCCCTCTCCCCCGGCTGTGAGGAGCCACACTGCGTCCTATGTCTGCAGGCTCTGGCCCTGCCCTGTCACAGCCTGGGCTGCCCACCGTGAGAAACAGCCTCACCAGGGGCTGGGTCAGACTTGCATGTTGCCCACATCCAGATTCCAACAAAGAGGAACTGGCTGCACACCACACTGGCCACGTATATGAGGAAGAAGGTGTGGTCAGCGGCCTCAGCCCAGCTCCTCGAGCCTTTTCCTCTTGGGGATACTGTGGGGGAAGAAGCAGGGAAAGGAGCTTTCTCCAAACCTCCTACAACATACTCTTGCAGAGCAGGCTTCAAGTCTCTCTTAGCTTCTCACCTAATAAAAGTTTGGGTCTGGCCCATCCTAAGCCATCTCCAGGGGAAGAGATACCCTCTTAGAGATCTCTGGGATTAATTCAGTCTGAGGTGACCTGGGCCTTTAGGGAAGCTAAGCTGGTTGGCCATTCCAGACAGGCCTGCTTCTTCCCAGGGAGGGTGCAGTGGATCCTGGAGACAGCAGATCCAGCTAGCGAGTAGAGGTAGCTCCAGTATATTCAGCCACCCGGGCCTTGGCTGAGTCCTGCCAGTGCCACCTGGTCAAACCTGCCCCAGGCCTCATTCCACCCCCAGAGAGGGCCCTTCACCCCAGCTCACCTTCAGAATTAGGCCCTGGGTTCTCCTGGTCTCTCTGTTCCTCTCTTGGGACTGGGTTGGAGCTGCTTTTATTCCTAAGGCTATCCCGGGCCAGCAGCCCAGCCAGCAGCACAGTCTCCATGGTGCTGAGAAAGAGCAGCAGCAGCAGGATTGTGAAGTAGTAAACTGGAGGTGGGAAAGGACTTGAGGGGCCAGGCCCAGCTGGGTCGCAGCTTGGGTGACACCAGGTCAAGGACAGGCTACATGGAATGGGAAGGCGCGGGGCTTACTGAGCAGTGGGTTGCAGGAAGAGGAGCTGGGCAGGGCCTGCACCAGGGAAGAGTGGAAGACGAGGTAGCCCAGCAGCAGTGTCACCTTGTAGGCGATGCGCTCAGTGGCCCGGAGGGGCAGCAGCCCCCCACACACATCAGCTAACAGCAGCGCCTCTCCGGGTACCAGCAGCGATATGATGGACTCTAGTGCTGTGTTCTTCAGGCTCATCTGGAAGGGAAGAGGCTGAGCCTTTCCCAGGATATGGAGGGGGTGGGCAGCACGGGGATGGTCACGGCCCTGACTGTGCCCACTCATTGCCCTCCATCAGCCTCTGCCAGCCCCTTCCCAGTTTGACTCACCATCACCTGGAAGCAGGGCACCAGATGCTGGTGTGGGACTTGGATTTTCAAATCATGAACTACGTATTCTCTCTTGACACTCACAATCTCATTCTTTATGTGGGCCTGGAACTCCAACTCCTTCACTGAAAGGGATGGGGATGAGAAGGGTGGACTAAGACAGGGAGATCTCTGCCCCCAAGTCTCTTAAGAGTCAAAACCCAAGCTTGAGCCCAGGGACGAAGCAACTTCTTGTGGCTTTTGGGAGGCACACTTGAAGATGGCTTCCCGATCCCTTCTCAGCACTTCGCGTCTCCAATGAAGAGAAGAGCCTCAGCTTCATAAATGAGCTGTCATTGCAAATAAATGCACTTTGTGCTACTTCGTGCCAGGGATGTGGTCACAGACTCAGGGGTCCGTGGAGCAGCGGTTGTCCTCTTACGGAGGGGAGGGAGGTAATGGGAAGTACTCTGCCGATTTAGACGTCACCTAATGGGTTAGGGGTATTTTACTGGGTGGCTGCTGCTTCAGTTGCCTCTGGGCTGGATGCAAATAGTCCAGCAGGTAGTTTGGACCCGACTGCTGAGAGCACTCACGCTGGGGAGAAAGGACTGAAGCTACCACCACGCTGTGACCCTGGAGGTGGACAGTAAGGCCACAGCTGAGAGAGGGGGACAGGAGATGGGCTGATGTCTGAGTGGAGGTGCAGAGTGAGGAGCGTGTGCTGCCCTGGGCACCATTCAGTTCCCCAACACCTGGGGTAGACTGATCTGAGCCCAGAGCCCAATGTCTGACCTGCGCTAGAGACTGGAGGGTCCCCTCCCCCTGCCCTCACCCCCTGCCCTGTCAGCACCAGTGTTGCTGAAAGCATAGAAGCTGAGGCTGCAGTTGCTCTGGTCCCTGGGGAAGTGGAGGAGCTCAAAGTTGCAGTTGGTCTCTGTGGTGAGGGCCAGGGTAAGCACCACTTGGCCGTCGTGGAATACTCGAACCTGTGGCATCTGGTCCTTCCAGTCCACCCAGAGCCTGTGAGGGGAGAGGTGCCACAGTGAGAGGCCCAGCACCTTCCAGACCTTATTTTCCCCAAACCACCCTGCTGTCAGTTCTGACTGGGAAAGGGAAATGTGGGAAATATTTACCAAAATAGCCTCTGGGTTCTAGATGGGGAAGGGGAGGAAGGACGTGCATGGCAGGTAGGGTCCCGCTTCACTTACGCTTCCTGGATAGTGAGTTTGGGCGTCCAGAGTGAGTCCCAGGGCAGCGTGACAGCATGCCGTGGGTGTGCGCTAGTGTTCCAGGCCAGGCGAGTGTCCACCCAAGACTGGGGACGCAAGGACACCACTGAGACCCCATTCTCCGCTTTATATGCCCCTAATGTCCCCAGGATGGTGTCAGTGCTTCCAAGCTGGACTAGCCATGTGTTCCTGTCCCACCTCCCCCGGGATGGGAGCTCACCAGCCTTAGCACCAGCATGGAGGACAATGTGTACCTCAGGATGTCCTGGAAGGGGAGAAACATGACCTCAGGGGTAGGCGCTGCAAGACAGGAGGAGGCAGGAGACCCTGGCAGTAGTCAGGACTGAGTCCTGCCCCTCCCCAGCTTAGTACTTGAGTTCTTTGCCCTCCTGTAGCCAGACTGCACTTACCACATTGAATACGTTGGACACAAACACCTCTACTTGCACAAGCAGGGGCGTACTCCCAGTGCTCAGAATCTGAGTGGTGTCCTGAACCTCCAGGGGCAAGTTGAGGTCGAGGAGAGATGGCTCCGCTGAGGAGTAGAGGTTGAGGTTATCCTGGTGCCCTGGGGCTGGAATCCCAAGCTTAAACTGTCCACCTACCAATAGCTGGCTTTCCAAAGCTGGACTCCTGGATGAAAGGCTGGATGGTGCCAACCCCGAGGAAGGCAAGATGAAGCACGATCCACAGAGCCATCATCAGTGACTGCCCAGAAGGCTCAGAGGGAAGCAGAGATGGAGCTTAAACTACCAACTTATTTCAGTCACCTCTCTGAGGGTTGAATAGTTGGATGGAGCCAGCTGCCCTATATGGTGACTCTGGGGCCTTAGACTTCGCAACCCCACCCACCCAGTTCTGCAAACACCTGAAGACAAAGCCCAGGGCCCAGCCCCACAGACTGCACCTGCCCAAGTGTCCCCGTCCCGCTCCATTTCCACCACCTGGAACACATTGCTTGGTCCAAAGCCTGCTAAGGACATGAAGTCAACCTGGACCCACACTCCTTCCTCCTTTGGTCTTTCCCGTCAAGGCCACCAGGCCTCTTCTGTGTTTCAGTAGCTGACAACAATCTGGCCAAGTATCCATGCCATCGGCCAAAGTGCCCTCCATTTCACAGTGTGTGATGGGGATACCGGTGTCTCTGCTTCTCTTTAGACCCTGATTTTATGTAAAAAGCCTTGGCTCAAGTACTCTAGGACTGGGGCAAACCAAGGGACACACAGAGACCAGTCATGAACAGGGGATATTCTTATCCTGCTGGATTCTCAGCTTGCCTCAACCCAGGCTGGAGTACTACTCGCCAAGGGAACCACTTTCTTGGCCCCCAGCAGAAACAGATGCTGGAGACCTAACCCAGTCAAGCTGCATCCAGAGTAGGAAACACCAAGGTCAACAGTGGATGGTCACTGATCAGGCTGCCCAGCGAGGAAGAGGGCCTAAGGAGCTGGAAGCAGGTGAGGACTGGTCAGGAACTTGTACATAAATGCAACTAGGGGAACACACATGGTGTCTGTGTCTGTCACTGACTGACTTTATTGAACCACTTAAATACTCTGCCTGCCTGTGTTGCACATACTGGCAGATTGTTCAGCAATCTGCATACACCTGGTGCCTCCCAACAGCCATGTGTAAAGAGGGTTTGTGATCCCTCCCTAGCTGCAGTTAGACGTTTTTACTTTTTTTTTTTTTTTTTTTTTTTTTTTTTTGAGACAGGGTCTCACTATGTAGTTGAGACGGACCTGGAACTCACTATGTAGCCCAGGCTAGTCTCAAACTCTAAGCAATCCTCCTGTCTCAGCCTCCCAAGTGTTGGGATTAAAGGCATGCGCCACCATGCTTGGCAGGACGTTTTTACTTTAAACCAGCTGCACTTAGCAAGGGGCACTTCAGTCATCCATCAGGAACCCTCTTGTGAAGTCCCAGAGGCTTTTTCCAAAGGGGCTTCATGACAATGTGAAATTTGGGCACAGCATGTGACTTGACTGCGGGTGAAACGGTTTGTGCATTTTATTAATAGATGAAACCCTCCCCTAATCCCCAACCTCTGACTCCAGCCCATCAAATATCCAAGGTTACAGGTTAAGGGCCTTGAGGCTTGAGGTCACATAAATAGGATTTGTTTTTTGTTTGTTTGTTTTGTTTGTTTGTTTGGTACCGGGGATCGAACTCGGGTCCTTGTGAGGCAGGTGGCGGAACCACTGAGCTAAATCCCTGGCCCAATAGTCAAGATCTTATTAGGGGCACTTTGGTTCTGCAATGGGCCAGGGACCTGGCTCCAGGGTGCTCAGCTGGGAAAAGCCAGGACAGGGACTGGGGGCCCCGGCCACTTCGCTCACATGCGTCAGGTCGGTGGACTCTCTCTCCAGGACACAGCCATTGTGGATGCCCGGGGCCACAACGCACACGTGGCCCGAGGCTCCGCGCGGAGTACGGCCCAGCAGGCCTGCGCAGACCTTGCGGAAACCCTTGCGGAAGTGCTTGGAGACCAGCGCATAGACGATGGGGTTAACGCAGGAGTTGGCGTAGGAGACCAAGTGCGAGAGGATCCTCAGGGCGTAAGTGGCGCGTGTGAGCGGGAAGCGGCCGAACCACACGCAGAGAATAAGCGCGTGGTGGGGCATCCAACAGAGGCAGAAGAGCACGGCCACGATGACTATCATGCGCGTCACCTTGCGCTTGGCGCGCCGAGCCCCGGAGCCTGCAGCCACCGGGTCTACAGCGCGCCACAGGTAGCGCAGGGTGCGCGCGTAGGTCAGGCCAAGAACCAGTACTGGCAACAGGTAGCTGAAAACGAAGGTGCAGAGGTCCATGGCGCGGCGGCGAGGCGCACTCCACGCTGGGTGACACACGGTCAGGTTGGCCAGCTGCGACTGGCTGTAGTAGCTCAGGTAGGGCCCGGAGAACAGCAGCGCCAGACCCCAGATGAGCCCGATGGCCGCCAGCGCGTTTCTAGGCGTACGCAGCTCGCGGGAGTGCAGCGGGTAGCGGATAGCCAGATACCTGGGAGCCAGGTTGGAAAAGGGAGGTCAAGTGAACGGGGGAGGGGGCGGGGTTCACTCCGGGTGGGCCGCCGCCCCTGCCTCTGTACACCCGCTCTCGCTCTCGGGGAAAGTCCCTAGCGCAGGGTTACACCGCACCCATACCCAGCGCGCCCTAAAAGTAAAACAGGGTCTGTCAGGAAAGGCACTCATTTGGGTCATTCTTCTGCCCTCGGTGCTGTGACCACAGATGTACGCCACCTGGAAAGGCATTGCGAAGTCACTGAAGACTAAAAGTTGAGGGAACCGCTATTTGTCTGGCGGAGGCTGTGATTAACCCACTAGTGACAGTGTCCGCGGAGGGAAAACTGGCGCCTGAGGCACTAGCGGACTGGCCGGAGCAGACAAGTCGGGCAAGGTGCGGCGAGGAAGTCCTGACGGAGGCTGGAGCCAGCGGGTCCCAGCAGCGCGCTCGGAACCGGCAAGCGACCTGCTCCGGCTCCGGCTCGGGCTCGGTGGAGACTGGAGGCTGTGGAGCGTGCTCGCACCTCACCTCGCCCGCCGAGGAGATCCGATGATGGGGGCGGGGATGCAGGGTGGGACGGATTTCCTTCTAGGACCCATGCCGCGTCCGGTCCAGCTCCCCCGGCCACCGGCGCCCGCGCTCTCGCTCCGACTGGGGAGGGAACCCCGAAGGCGCGCTCTCCCGCCCCGACCCCTGACCCTCCGCCTGGACACGGGCAGCAGGGAGGGCTGAGAGTGAGCCAGGGACTTTGGGAGGACTCACATTCCACAGTCCCGTGACTGCGCCGGGTAATCGCGCTGTGGCTTCGAGAGGAGCTCGGAGGAAGGCCCGAGTTTGAAGCTAAAAGACGGGCGGCTCGCTTCCCGCACGCGACGGCGGGCTAGCGACCCTGAGCGTGTTAGGAGCTCGACCTCTTCTGTAAATTGGGCACAGCACTCTCCCCATCCCAGCCAGAAAGGCTTTAAATGTAAGCGACATGTCACACGGGAAAAGGCTGGGTACTGAGAAACGCCGCGCGTGGTCAGGCGCGGGTGGCGCTGGAGAGCAGAAGGCTCCAGCCCGAGAGGCCCCGAGGACGCACCCAACTGAGGGCCACCGCGTCTCCATTCTTCGTCCTCTTTGTCCTCCGCGCCCACTTACGCCCGCTTGCCTTCCACCGCCTCCGGTCCCTTTGCCGTCTTAGTGTCGCCTCCCGCCCTCTTCGGGTCCCTCCTGATCGTCGGGTGGCGCCTCCCTCTCCAGCCCCTGTCCAAGCGCCTGCTCACCTGTCCAGGGAGACGGTTGCCAGCGTGAAGCTGCTGGCGTGCATGGTGAAGAAGATGAGGAAATGCACGGCCTTGCAGAGCAGCGAGCCGAACACCCAGCCGTCCAGGGTGTAGATGGTGGCCTGGAAGGGCACGCAGCACAGGATGAAGCACAGGTCGGCCACGCCCAGGTTCAAGATGAACAGGTTCGTGGTGCTGACGGCCTGGCCGCTGCGCAGCAGCACCGCGAGCACCAGCGCGTTGCCCACGGTGCCCACGAGGAAGATGAGCGCGAAGAAGAGGGGCACGAGGACAGCCTCAGGCTGCCAGCCGCCCTCGCCGCCTGCCTGGCTTGCGTTCTCGGCCCCCGGGCCGCCTGAGGAGTTCATGGCGACGCCAATACCCAGGCCGCTTGGCTCCTGCTGCCGTCTGGGTCTTGGCGAGGGTGCAGCTTTCCGCCGCTGCGGCCGCCGAGGCGCCCAGCAAGACTCCACCGAGCTGCAGGCGCCGGAGCCGGGTTGCGCCGGGGTCAAGGGGAGGAGCGAGCAGCCGAGGATGGGCTTGTCCCCGCCGGGACACCCAGAGCCCACCCCACGGCGGAGAGCGGCTCTCGGATCTGCTCTCGCGCTCTGGCCCCAGGATCCCGGCTGTCGCATATTGAGTCGGAAAACTGGCTTCTCCCGGAGACGTTGGATGCGTGTGCGCCAGCCACAGGGAGCGTCCACTGGGGAATCGCGCATCCCTGCGCCTCCCCGCAGTCTGACCAGCGCGCTGGCTGCGGTGCCCTCGAGAGCCCCATACTGGTCTCCCCTCCATGGGGGGTGACGCTGGGTGGCGGGGACTGGAGAAGAAAGGTTCTCTGAGACGGCCCGCCCTGCACTCCATGCATCTGTCCATCTCAGTCCCCGGACCACCAGGCTGCACAGTAACCTCGGCGAACAGCCTGGCGCATGAAGGGGCAATGGGAAGAAATTTTCTGGGGAAACATGATTAGCTTCATCTCACTCCTTTCTCTGGGCACATAATGGTTAGGTTATGATATTTGTTAAATATTTCTTTTTGCATGGAGCATTTGTGACAAGGAATCATTGCTACCCTACCACCACCACCACCAGGGATTGAACTCAGGTCCTTGTGCTTGCAAGGCAGGCATGGTGCCAATGAGCTAATTCTCTGGCTTGTATGGTTTTAACCTCCCAGGTCCCTGGGTCTGAAAACCACCACCTTCTGCCACTGCATCTCCATTTCTATTTCACCTTTGCTGCCTTGTTTCTTGAGTCCAGTGGAGAACATTATCCCCCACTCCAAGTCCTCAGCAACTCAGCTACTCATCTATCTATCTTTCTTTCTTTCTTTCTTTCTTTCTTTCTTTCTTTCTTTCTTTCTTTCTTTCTTTCTTTCGCAACCTCTTGAGTGCTGGGCTTTTAGGCTTGAGCCATCACATGCAGCCTACAGAGTTTTTTGTTTTTTTGTTTTTTGGAGGGGGGTTTGTTTGTTTGTTGAGACAGGATCTTGCTGTATAGTTCAACTTGGCCTTGAATTCACTGTGATCCTCCTGCCTCAGCCTCTGAGTGCTGGGATTGCAGGCATACTGGTATGGGTCACCACACTCAGCCACACTATTCCTTTTTTTTTTTTTTTTTGGTACCGGGGATCAAACTCGGGTCCTTGCGCTTGCGAGGCAGGCGGCGGAACCACTGAGCCAAATCCCGGGCCACACTATTCTTAATAGGAAAATATTATTCACACCCTTGCCCTGCCTGCTTACTCACTGAATAGGAAGGTGTCAACAGTTCACGTTTATGAACTGTTTGCTATTCATTTATTCAGCAGGTATTTATTAAGCACTTACTGCTTGACAGGTACTGTTCTGTATCCTTAGGATATCCCAGTGAGCACTACAAAGATCACAGTCCTCTGTGAGCTTGCTTTCTACAAGAAGGGACCAATCTAATAAGCATAATTTCAGTTATTAATCTATTGCTAGTTGATAAGAATTTTTAGGAAAAGTGGATCAGGCTAAGGGAATTCAGGCAATGACAATGGAGCAGTTTAAAATAGGGTAATCAAGGGGCTGGCAAGTTAGCTCAGTGCCTGCCTCGAAGCTCAAGGTTCTGAGTCGATCCCTGGTACCAAAAATAAACAAACAAATAAATAAACAAATAAATAAATAAATAAATAAATAAATAAAATAGGGCAATCAGGCGGACCTTATTAAGAAGGTGAAATTCAGAGCTGGGAATGTAGCTTAGTGGCAAGCATTTGCCCAGCATTCACAAGGCCTAGGTTCAAGGCCCCCCAAGTGACAGTTAGCTGGGCTCAGTGGTGCATGCCTGTGGTCCCAGCTACTCCGAAGGGTGAGGCAGGAGGATTGCTTGAGCTCAGGAGTTCAAGGCCAGACTGGACAACACAAGAAGACTTGGTCTCTTAAAAATAAAAAGTGACCTGTGAATGAAGATAAGGAGGTGAGGGAGCCAGCCACACAGTTATTTAAGGAAAGTGTATTACGGTAGGAGGCAGGATTATGTGTATGTCCCTAAGGAGGCTGGTATGGCCCGGGCAGAACGAGCAAGAAGGAAATTGGCAAAAGAGGTGAGAGTAGGTTTTTTTTTTTTTTCCATTATAAAGACAGTGGCTTTTAGTATAGTAAAATAAAGTGGTATTGCAGAGCTTTGATGAGAAGATAAACAATCTTTTTATTTTTTGGTAACAGCTTTATTGAAATACAATTAAAATAAACAATATACCCATTTAAAGTATTCCTAGTGAGGTGTGCACACCTGTAATCTCAGCACTCAGGAGGCTGAGGCAGGAGGATCACTGTAAATTCAAGGCCAGTCTAGGCTACATAGTGAGTGGCCTGGCCTACCCAAAAAGACCTTGTCTCAAAAAAAAAATATTCCTTTAACTTTTAGTATATTTAAAGTGTGCCACAGTCACCACAATGAGTTCTAGAGTATTTCACTCCCTACAGAATAAACTCTTTTTCTTTAGTGGTCAGCCTCCAATTTCCTTCCTGTCTTTATCTCTAACACTGTTCCCCATCCTAGGCAACCATTAATCTACTTTCTGTCTCTATAGAATTGCCTATTTAGGGCACTTCATACTAATGGACTTCATGTAATAATGCTACTGTGAATATGAGAGGTATACAAATAACTCCTCTGGATCCTGCTTTATAATTCTTCTGGAAAAATACTCAGAAGCAGAATTGCTAGATTACATGGTGATTCTTTTTTTTTTTTTTTTTTTTTTTTTGGAGATAGGGTCTTGCTATGTAATTCCGGCTGGCTTCGAACTCCCAGAAATCCTCCTGCTTCAGCCTCCTGAGTGTTGGGATTACAGACACGCATCACCATGCTGAATTGCCATACTGTATTCTGCAGTGACTCCATCATTTTACACTCCCACTAATGGTGCACCCCAGTTCCAATTTCTCCACACACCACACCACATTTTGTTTTCTAGTTTGTTTTGGTATAGTAGCCATCCTAATGGGTGAGAAGTGTTATCTCACTGGGGCTTTGAGCTACATATCTCTAATGATACCTGATGTTGAGTGTTATTCATTATTTTTATTCTTTTTATTGACAATCTTGCTACGTAGACCAAGCTGCCCTCAACTGGCAATCCTTTTGGCTTGGTGTTGGGATTGCAGGTGTGTGCCATCACTCCTGACAACATCCATTTTTATTGGTAATTATCATTCCACAGATGAGGGAACAGGTTTGGATGGAGATTAAATTACATGCCCAACTTCTCCCATCCAGTACTGTTGGAGCAGGGATCCGAGCCTCAGCCTCTAGATCCAAAACTCTAGAGGCTGAGGGCCCTATTGTAGGGCAGTGACTCATTTTCTCATGCCAATACTTCTCCGTCCTTATGCTGGTCCCAAGCCATGGCTCCACCAGGACACTGCTTGCTGTTTGTGCCATCGGTTCCCTGGCCCATTGCTTTTTCACTGAAAGCCCAAGAAAAGCTCAGAGGCGGACCCTCAAAGGCGGGGTACTTCGTAGAGACAGAAAACCCGTCTCTCGACTCCATGGAAAGGTACATACCAAGAAATCCAGTCATTATCCCCCACCCTAACCCCGCTTCCGGATGTGTGCAACATGAGCCCGATCCCCTGTGCAGGGACACGGGAGGTGGGCGTCCACTTATGGTCCTCCTGCCCTTGGTGTACAGCAGCTGAGGTCTGCCAGGGAAAGAGACTTCAACAAGCTTTAAGCTCGCTCGCCACAATTTGCCACTCAGGAGCACAGCCCACGCGCAGGCGCGTTCCAACAAAAGGCTCCACCCACCAGAAGCGTAAAGGGCGGTGGAGTCCGCCCCTATCCCATCAGCCTGGGCTGCTAGGTCCCGCTCTCTCCAGCCCCTGCTATCTCGCCTCCTCCATCCCGTCCTGCTCCGCGGCGTAGGGGCAAGATGGCTGCTGAGAAGCAGGTCCCGGGTGGCGGCGGCGGAGGCGGCGGCGGTAGCGGTAGCGGTAGCAGCGGTGGAGGCGGTGGACGTGGTGCGGGAGGAGAAGAAAATAAAGAAAACGAACGACCTTCAGCCGGCCCGAAGGCAAACAAAGAATTTGGGGATAGCCTGAGTTTGGAGAGTATCCTAGAGTTGTGGCCTGACTCGCAATGACTACGTGTCTATCTAGAGGGCTAGGGGCGGGAGAGGCGGCGGGTACTGGCACGTCCTGTGCCGGAGCTGAGGGTTGCAGTTTCTTTTACCTTTAGACACTCAAACATCCAGGGGTCTGTTCCTCGATCGGTCTTTTCCTCGCTTCCCCCTCGCCCTCCTTATCGGGCACGTTCTTTTCTTTCAGGTGGCATAGGGATACCAGGCTGGTTTCGCCTCCTTCCGTGCAGTTGCTCACTTGGAGGGCTCGTGTCAACATTGACACCCTCGCCATCCGGCTGAGCGCCTTCCTTGATACCTCCGAGCTACTCAACGGAGAGGGGAAAATGCAGTCTTGACATTTCAGTTTAATACTCTTGTCTGACAGCTGTCTTAAACAAGCTAGTAAAATGGAGAGCTTGATGCTTGGCAAGTGGAGGTACAGATTGTTTTGAGAAAAAGCTTCTCTGCCTGTTTTGTATATAACTTAGCATAGCTTGTTGATATAATTTGTATAGTTTTCTTGGATCTATAGGCATTTTATCTTGTAGCCTTTGGAAGAATCAGTTTGTAGTTTTCATTAGTTTATATTTCAGTTGTGTGCTTGTAAGACCAGTTGGTGGCTTTTTGACATGAAAAAAGTGGAGAAAATATAGATGAATCTCTGAAATGGCACATTCAGCTTGATACCTTAACATAATTAAGCTTTTAGAGTTTTGGAGTTTGCTTTTTTGGGGGTACCGGGGATTGAACTCAGGACCTTGGACTTGCCAGGCAATTATGGTGCTACTGAGCTACATCCCCGACCCTGCAGTTTACTTTTTAATATGGTGGTATACTTCTTGCAAATGGTTGTAA